CAGCCTTCTGTGGTTGGTGATTTTTCTGCGAAGGTTTGCTGGTAACTCGTCACGAGCCACCGGCACCTCCACAGTCACCGAACTTCTAGCGTACGCTTGTAGGATTGTCTCACCGATGCTTCTTGCCGCTGTTTCCAGTTCGTCTTCGGTTGCTATCTGTGGGATCACAGTCAGATTATGTAATACATTCGTGACTCCCCTGTCTGGTTCTCATCGCCGCTTATATAGATTCCTTCAGGTAACCCAGATGGTTCTCGAAATTAACAATTGTCTCCGATGAAAATCACTAAACAAGTAGGTAGTAATATTTTACGAGATCGAAACTTTGAATCGTGCAATACAATGCAAATGGATATCATCAGGGCAGCATCTGGACTACAGACGGAGGGTAAGACATAGGGAATCGGTACCGCATTCTTTCGATACGATTTAATTTAATTTAATCTTTCCTTGATACGAATTTGCGTCCGCAATCAATCAGGCGATTTAAAATAGGTCCAACAGTTTTTTAATAACTTTATTGTAGTGGATCTAGGCATAATTTGGTGTTTCCAATCATCGATTGTTAGTTCTTAAAACAATATTTAACAATACAATGCAATGGTTAATCTCATTTGCAATGATGAACACCCGGTCGTTTGAACATGTTTTTCTAAAGTTTGTAATACATTTTTCTGCAAATTTATGGACGATCCGCATTTTCTTGCACTTAAACTGCTTTAGTGTGTATACTTGTGTGTGTACATTAATTGGAAATTAAAAAGAACTCGAACATGCATATAGTACATGAGCACCCTTACTTAGTATTTGCAGTATCTGCAGCTTCTCTCTTGTTAATTTATTGATTTATTGTTATCAGCGTTATAAAATAAACTGCACCAAACACAACAATATCACACTCAGTAATTGATATATCAAAATCACCGTCAGTTTAATAACGCAATGTGTATTTGAAAAGTTTATCAGATCTACAGATGCACTCGCACTAAGAGAAAATGTCGAATTCAAAGTGCATATGTGCGTCCCAAGCCTCAGGCGCGAAGAAGCAGGAGTGGGAGCCGACGTTACGGCTTGCCTTCCCATAAACTTCACATAAACTTCACCGTCACATGAAAAGTTATCACTTCAAAAATTCAGTCAAAGCGTCAAAGTTCAAAAATTCGTACTGATGAAAGTACCAGAGAAAATTCAATCTAATTAGGAGCATGCCTCAAAGAAAGTATTTTCACAAAATACTAAAACTTACTTGCCGATATCTGACGCGCTTATAAAGAAATCAGCTTTGAAAGCTTAAGGGACAAAAATGGTAGAAAGTCAGTCAAGGCGTCAAAGTTTAAAAACCCATAGTGCAGAAAGTAACTGAAATAGTGCAAGTTCTTTTAGAGTGTGCATTAAGAAAAACCTAGTTAATAAACTTCTATAACCTGCGTGAAGATAGCTGGAACAGTTATGAAGAAATCAACGTTGAAAACTTAAGGAGTAAAAATGGTCGAGAATCAGTCAAAAAGTCAAAATTTAAAAATTGGCATTGAAGAAAGTTGTTGAGTGAATGCAACTAATTTTAGTGTGTGCGTTCAGAAAAGCCTGCTTAATAAACCTCTTCTACCCGCGTGGAAATAGCTGGCCTCATTATCAACAAATCAACGTTGAAATCTTAAGGTGCAAAAATAGGGAAAAGTTTGTCAAAGCGTTAAAGTTCAAAAATTCGTGTTGAACAAAGTACCACAGAGAATCCAACCTAATTCGCAGTGTGCCTTCAAGAAAGTCTGTTCAATACATTTATGGAATTCACTTGCCGATATTTGGCGCGCTTATGAAGATATCAGCTTTAAAAGCTGAAAGTGCAAAAGTGGTAGAAAGTCACTCAAAGCGTCAAAGTTTAAAAACGCATGATGCTGAAAGTAACTGAAATAATGCAACTTATTTTCGAGTTTGCATTGAGAAGAGCCTTCTTAATAAACTTCTATAACCCGCGCGAAGATAGCTAGCATAATTATGCAGCAATCAACTTTGAAAACGTAAGGTGCAAAAATACGGAAGTTTTTTTCAAAATGTTAAAGTTCAAAAATTCGTATTAAAGAAAGTAGAAGAGGGAATCCAACCTAATTAAGAGTGTGGCTTAAATGAGGTCTATTCAATAAATGCATGAAACTCGCTTGCCGATATCTGCCGTGCATTCGAAGAAGTCAGCTTTGAAAGCTTAAACATGGTAGGAAATCAGTCAAAAGTTTAAAAAATCATGGTGCAGAAAGTAACTAAAATAATGCAGCCAATTTTGGAGTGTGCATTAACAAAGGAATATTTAATAAAATTTTGGAACCCGTGTGCAGCTACTTGGAACAATGATGGAGAAATTAACGTTTAAAACTTAAGGTGCAAAAATAGGGAAAATTCAGTCAAAGCAGCAAAGTTCAACAATTCCAAAAAAGTACCAGATAGATTCCAACCTAATTAAGAGCGTACCTTAAAGAAAGTCTGTTTAATAAATGCATGAAACTCGCTTGCCGGTATCTGGCGTGCTTATGAGGGTATCAGCCTTGAAAACTTAAGTAAAAATTGAGTAAAAATGGTAGAAAATCAGTCAAAACGTCTAACTTTAAAACTTGGCATTGAAGAAAGTAGTGAAGCGAATGCAACTGAATTAACAGTGTGCATTAAAAAAAGCCTGCGTTATGAATTTCTTTTCCGAAATCGGGTCTCCTTATGAAAAAATGAGCATTGAAAGCCCAGGGTGCACAAATGCCGGAAAATAAGCAAAAGCGCCAAAAATCACTTTGAAGAAGTCAACGAAGCAAAATAAATATTAGTAAGAGCTTGAATTCAGAAACCCTTGCTTGATAAATTTCTGAAGTCCGCTCGCACAAATCTGATCTAGTTATGACGAAATCAGCTTTGAAACCCCATGGTGCTAACTAACCAATCGGATGCACCAAAATTTAGGTACCCGACTTGGTTCCTGAAGTATCATGAAAATACAAGAAATTAACACTTGTTTAATTATCACATATTACGCAAACTGCTTAAGTTAGAAAAAAGTTAAAACTGCCCTTAGTACAACTTTTTGCATTGAATCCATTAAACTAGCACTCGTAGTCATAGTCAACTTGATTTACGGGATAAAAAATAAAGTTATGTTTTTTTAAATGGTAATAATTTTAAAATCCTTATTTTTTTCTGAATTTAACGATATAATTATTGGTATGTTTTTCTCTTTCTTTTGTTGCAGTAAAACTTCAAAAGAAGATAAAAAATGGGCTATGTTCAAATTGACTTTCGTTTACGTCCAGGCATTTTTTGGCATCTTCACATACAACTCGTGAGTTATGTGAAGGTGCACAATCATGTTGAAAATATGCCAATTTTCGAAACGATGCTAACGGAAAACTATTCTACATGTCTTCAAGTTCATTTGGTAAAAAGTGCAAATATCTTTCGCTATTTAAATTGATATTACAAAAGAATGGACCAATAATTTTATCACTAAAAATGCCACACCAGACATTCACAAAAAAACACGTTGATCTTGCCTATTTTCAATTAGATGATGATTTTCATTAGCCCAGTGAACATGATTGTGTCTGCTAAATATTCCATTGTTAGTAAACCGAGATTTGTCAGAAAATAAAATGTGAGGGGAAACTGTAGATCTAATAGCCGTAGCAAACCTTACTAAACCACCTAGAAAAACTGAAGTATTCGTTCAGAATCTCGAGATGCATAGTATTTGCAATAAAGTACTTGAAAGGCTTGAATTTGTTTTGTTTTAGAATCAAACGGGCTTCTTCCTTAGAAATATTACATTCACTGGCAGTTTATCGGATTGATAAGTTTGAAATTAAAATGGGTGTAAGCTAAAACTCTTTCTTCATCTTGTTCTTTAAATTTAATCTTCCCCTTGTTCGATTTTTAAATGATCCGTATTTCTTCAAGTTGGCTTCCAGTCGTGAAAAACGTAGTTTGTCTGAATGTCTCCTCTCCATGTATTGGTAAAATATACATTGATAACCATATTACTATGTAATTCTATTACAGGTATAGGAACAGAATAGCATGTCATTATTTTCTTCTTTGCTAACAAAGTGCATGGTATTTACTTAGCAACAATAATACTTTTAACTAATGACATTTAGGTATTAACTCAAACTACTACAAAAAGTAAAATAAAGTAAAATAACCATTTCGTGACAATACTGCTAGATGCTTGTTAATGTTTTTCTTTTGAATTTTTACGGTTCAAAGACGAGATGAACATACAAACAGTTATATCGTTAAATTCGGAAAAAATAAGGATTTTAAAAGGCCCACAACCAACTATGATTACCATTTAAAAAACATAAGTTTATTTTTTATCTCTTAAATCAAGTTGACTATGACAAAGAGTGCTAGTTTATTGAATTCAACGCAAAAAGTTCTACCAAAGGCAATTTTAACTTTTTTTCTAATTTAAGCAGTTTAGTTTAGTCTTGTCTTTTCACGATTTTTCAGGAACCAAGTCGGGTACCTAAATTTTGAAAACGGTAATGAATAGGCAATCAAATTCTGCCCAATTTTGGCCATTTAATAAATTCTCTATCTTTAAAAATGTAGACGGTACCCATACAAAGATTCAGAAAAAGGCCACCCTGTATATCCAGGCATAAAAGAGCATTTCCCAAACCTCACCGGAAAAAAAAAATATATCTAGGCTAGTAAATACTAAAGAAATCTGATATGTCAACACTAAAAAGCCCTCAAAACCATATACAATTTTAAAACATGAGTATGGTCCAGAAAACGAATGGCCTGATAAAAGCTAATAACCACTTTAACAGATCTGTTTGCTTAAAAACCGCTACAACTCAAAAAACTCCGGTCATATTTCACAGTCGCTTGCACTGAAACGAATATAAAGCAACCCCCAAAGTAAACGGGCTGCTGTCTGCGTAGTTCAAAAACACCCGATCTAAAGCGTTTTGAAAAATGGAAAAGCTGCGATATTATGTTAAATGAAAACGTCCCAGTCACCTGGACACCTGGCAACCGAATCCTGCTTAAATAGCGCAATAATGTTGCTGTTTTCGCGCCAAACTGGCTAATTAATTGTGCCGGAGCACAGTTTTAATTGCAGACCTTCCATTTCGACATTATTATTAGTAAGGCTCATTTAAAATAGAACTCGCGCTAAACGCTGGAATCAGTTATAATATTTAGGAGAATCGTTATAAGCAAATCTGCCACCGAGTGAGTATATCTCAATTTGGAAAAAAAGGGTTGGCAAGCAGGATTTATTAGGCGTCAAAGTTTCGCTTTCTTGGGGGAGCGAAAAAATACGAAAATATTGCAAGTGGGCTCTTAACATGATTTATCATAGCCGGAAGAAAATTTCCCTACTAATTAAGGCCGCTTTTCTTCGCTTTACAGCACTGGGATACGCGAAATGCAGATTTAGCACCGCGGAAATCGTCATCGATCAATTGGATGATCGTAGTGTAATGAGGACGCTGATGACGGTCCACATAGAGGCCACATTATCGAAATTGGGAACTGCCACTCTCTATTATGGCCTCTCATTGTTCGTTTGGTGAGACCGTGGCCAACACCTTTTAATCCCGCGATAATGGATTCCGGATTGGCATTAGATTGCTTTTCGATGTGAGCTCGAAACTCTATGTCGAAGACTTAGCCACAATGTTTTTTACACGTTTGACGTCAATGGATTCGTCTCCTAAAAAGCGGAAGTTTGTTGCCATTTGGAAAGCAGTTGACCTCCCACGGTCAAATTCTGGTCTCCTAGTTGAACTTTTCAAAATTAGTAATTTTTCATTTAACTAATTCCCAGGCTAACCAGTAATGAATCTTCAGTTTTTCCACAGTCAAGCAATTAGCCATGGAAGTTTACAATCCAATCGCTGATCGACAACTAATGGTCGTCAGCGCGATATCGTTTGTGCCTATCAGAGTCAGCAGTTGCAAAACTTCTCCGTGTTCACGCTAATTAGTTCAATTCACTCTCGAGGAATTTTTCCACTCACCCGATCCAGTTCTCTTAAGAGAAAATATTTGGTTAATATCGATCTCTGCCGAAAATAGCTCTGGGATCGGTGCAAGGCCGTAACATTGAAAATTCCCACAAGTCTATGCCAGGATTTACCAGCTGCCTGTTTCACAATTAAATAGAAGAGTATTTGGTTCGGAACTTGTCACTAAACTGTTCGCGAGTTGGCGGCTATAGAAATAAATGCTACAAAAACAAACTTCTACACCAATTTGAATTTATTTTATACACGCAGGAATGGAACCATTGGCAATGGAGTAGTATATAACTCAGTAGTACCTAATACTAAATAGTCGGTTAAAAGAAGTTTGCCTGATGAAATTCTGAAATCTGCTTACAGATATCTCGCCTGTTTATGAAGAAATCAGCTATGAAAGCTTAAGGTGCAGAAATGGTGAAGTCAGTCAGAGCTTCAAAATTGAAAAAATCATATTCAAGAATGGAACTAAGTAGAACAAACCTAGTTAATAATGTGTGTTGCCTAATGTAGCTTTGTAGTTGTAGCGGTTGAAAACATTGCCTAATGTAGCTTTGAAATCCGTTGACAGATATCTGCTCTGCTTACGGAGAAATCCGCCTTAAAACTTTAAGGTGCAAAAATGGCTAAATTTATACTAAACAGAGAAACTAAGCGCATGCAACGTACTTAACGTTGTGCATTAAAGGAAGTTTGCTTAATAAAGTTCTGGAGTCAGTTTCCTGATATCTGTCCTGATCAAGACCAAATCAGCTTTGAACGCTGAAGGTGTAGAAACGGCCAAAATACAGTGAAATCGCTAAAGTTCAAAAATTAATATTAAAGAGAGAAACAAAGCGAATGCAACGGACTTCACACTGCGCATTAAGGAAAGATTGCCTAATCAAGTTCCGGAATCGGTTTGTAGTTATCTGGCCTGATTAAGACGAAATCAAATTTGAAATCTGAAGTTTTTAAAATGTCTAAAAAGCAGTCAAATCGTCAAATTTCAAAAATTTATATTAAAGACAAAAGGCAAAATAATGCAACGGACTTCACACTGAGCATTAACGAAAGCATGTTTAATTTTTTTTTAGTTTTGGACTCCGGTTGCCAATATCTTGCCCGATTAAGGCCGCTTTTCACCAAGCGATCTTAAACCAGTTTAAGGTCTGAAACTCAATCTGACGCGCGAAACGGATTTCACCAGAACCTTAAACTTAGTTTGTGCTTGAACGCGTTTAAAGAAACGAACTGGCCGATTTTGGGCGTTTATAGCTTTAAACGCCGTTTAAAGACTTGATCTAACCTCACTGTCTAAAGAATTGTTGTTGTTGTCGGTCGACCGAAAAATAATAAAATAGAAATGGCACGTAGGCCAGTTTGTAATTTAATTTGCGAAGTAGTCTACGAATATTTCATTGTTACTTATGCTTATACTTGCGGATTTTATACTCTCCGTATTTTGTAAAAGCTGTTTCGCAATAATTCGCTGAAGGGTTGCAAAAAACTCACTTACAATTGGTGTTGGTCATATTGCTTATAAGCCGATAAGGACCAATTCTTTCTTAACGCACAAAATCGCTCAAAACGAATTTTCAGTCCATCCTATAGAGTTCGTCCAGACTGAGAGAGGAGCTTTGAACGCGGAAGATGTCGAAATGGGTAAAAGGCAGTCAGACCATCCAAGTTCAAAATTTCATATCAAAGAAAAAAACAAAGTGAATGCAACGTACTTCAGAATGTGCATTAAGTTTAAGTAAGCTTGTTTAATAGAGTTCTGGAATCCCTTTGCCGATATCTGGTCTGCCTATGAAGAAATCAACTTGGAAAGCTTAAGGACCAGAAATGGCTAAAAATCAGTCAAATAGTCGAAGTTCAATAATTCATACTAAAGGAAAAAACAAATCGAATGCAACGTACTTCACTCTGTGAATTAACGAAAGCCTGTTTAATAAAGTTCTGCGATCCGTTTGCCGAAATTTGGCCTGATTATGAAGAAATCAGGGTTTAAAGCTGAAGATGCAAAAATTGCTAAAATATAGTAAAATCGTCAAAGTTCAAAAATTCATACTTAAGAGTTAAACTAAACGAATGCAACGTACTTAACACTCTGCATTGAGGTAACCTTGTTTAATAGTTCTCTGAAATCCGTCTATCTATGTTCAGCCCGTTTTTTTAAAATCAGATTTTAAAGCTGAAGCACCAGAAATTGCCAACAGCCAAAACATTACAATTTTGAAAATTGCATGGAACTAAGTTACTACGTCAATGCGACCTAATTAATATCTACTGTGCGTTAAGAAACTTTTGCTTAACAAATTGCTGAAATAGACTTTGCGAGATCTGCGCTCCTAATGAACAATTCAACTTTTGAAATGTCAGGTGAAACAACAGAGAAAACAGAACCAGAACGAACATATGTATATCTATTCAAAAGCGCCATTAGATATGGATTTTTGCAATCGGTTTCAGGTTTTTGTACGTGCAATGCCGATGACAACGAATCCAGGCTGATGAAGAACTTGATGGCCAATTACGATGCGGGAGTGCGGCCCGCTCAAAATTCCTCCCTGCCTCTAACTGTCGTTTTCGGGGTGTCTTTGCATCACATCATCGACGTGGTAAGCGGCAAAGATAAGCGTATCATAATAGACTGCGATTTATCAGCGCTTAATCGGTTTGGATTTTTTCTTTTCCGGCTATTTCACCTGCGTCTTCACTCCGGCAGGACGAAAAAAACCAGATCCTGACCACCAACTGCTGGATAACGCAAATCTGGATGGACTATCATTTGCAATGGAACGCCACCGAGTATGCGGAGCTGAAGGTGATCAGAATCCCGTACCATCGAGTGTGGAGGCCGGACCTGATCTTGTACAACAAGTGAGTTTGTCGCCGATAAATCAAACATGCAATATCGCATGGAACTCGCCCCCGCAATGCCCGCACCCTAAAAACTGCACTCTCATCTCCAATTAATTCTCGTCAGGATTAAATTAAAATTTTGCTTGTTTTTAGCGCTGATCCTCAATATCAATCCTCAGTGATCAACACCAATGTCATAGTGTCCAGCAATGGCCAAGTGGTTTGGCTCTCTCATGGCATCTACCGATCCTCCTGCGATATTAATGTCGAATACTTTCCTTTTGATGTTCAAAGCTGCCACATGAAATGGAGCTCGTGGACCTACGACGGATATCAAGTAAGAAACTTATGCATTTTTAATAAAACTTCCGCATGAAACGTGACAAGATACAAATGGAATGCAAGGCTCGACCTGCAGCGGCAAACAAATGCGAAATGTTCGCCCTAAAAGGCTGGTTTTTCAAATTATTGCCTGCCTGAAATTGGAATTTTATTCCCCATCTTCCTGTGCACTTGCATTTGGATTGAAATGCCATACAACTATTTATTTTAATGCAAAATTTCAGGGTGAATTTTTGGCCAACAAGAGAGGGACAATGCAGCAAACCAAATTAGTTTTGCTCTGGAAGTTTGATCACCCGTATGACTAAAACCGTCTGAAACATGAGCCTTTATGAGCATTCAACTCAAGCAAAATGGAAATATAATTTAAATTAGAAAACATCCCGGAAACCGGTTCTTTTCATGCCAGTTTTTTTCAATCCGATTCAAAGAGAAAAGTGAAACAGAGCCAACTCGCCTATTTATCCGGATTTACGAATCCGGCGGGCATTGATGATTAAAATTAATCTGGAATTGGAGCCGCCTCTATTTTCACGCTTTCCGGTCTCATTAGGGGCGTGGAAAAATGCCCCAGAGAAACTTTATTATTATTTATTGCAACGCGCGCGAATCGATACATAACACACATGGACACGTGGGGATTCATTGAATGCGAACAAATCGCGGGAAAAGCCGATAACCTAAGCGGCAAAACATCACGTAGCTGGTCTCCTTTAATAAGGCCGAAGATGCGAAATCCCTTACAAAGGGATAAGTGGCTCTTATAGTTAAACTTGCATGCTGACAGCCGCTTTTCCAATGAAACTTGGCTGGTATTACGCAAATTATGACGAGCTGGAGTGTATTTGAAAACAAGTATTGCACATCTGAAAACTGCCAATATTCCTGTGCAGAAGAACTGAATTTGAGCTAGAAATAGTAGTTAGATGGCTTAGTTTCAACTGTTTTCCAGATTTGAGCCGCCAAACTTTACCGAGTTCCTTAAATTTGCAATTATCCATAAACCTCTTTAGCAGTTGCACTCTAATCTGGGAATACGATCCTTCGGCCCAATTTCCGATGTTGTGCCGAGCCTTTCGCTCCCGACACTGCTTGAGACAGTAAACTGTATCAATAATATTACGCATTCTAATCTGTGTCGTGCCCAAATGGCGCGGCACAACAAATGCATTAAAATCTAATGTTTGTCCATGTTGTGCCAATGCATTCGCGCACGGCACTGCTTGAGACAGCAAACTGAATCAATAATATTACGCGTTCTATCAGTGTCGTGCACAAAGGGCTCGGCTCAACAAATATATTGAAATCTAATGATTGCGCATGTTGTGCCGCGGCCTTCATGCACGGCACTGCTTGAGACTGCAAACCGTATCAATAATATTTCGCGTTCTAATCAGTGTCGTTCACAAAGGGCCCGGCACAACAAATGCATTGAAACCTAAAGATTGTCCATGTTGTGCCGAAGCCTTCAGGCACGGCCCTGCTAGAAACACCAAACTGTATCAATAATATTTCGCGTTCTAATCAGTGTCATTCATAAAGGGCTCGGCACAACAAATGTATTGAAACCTAAAGATTGTTCATGTTGTGCCGAGGCCACAGGATACTGTATCAATAATATTTTGCGTTCTAAACAGTGTCGTGCCCGAAGGACTCGAAACAACAAATACATTGAAATCTACAGATTGTCCATGTTGTGCCGAGGCCTTCTGGCACGGCACTGCTTGAGACAGCAAACTGAATCTGAATTTTAAGACACAACTTACAAACGATATCAATAAAATGTCGCGTTCTAATCAGTGCCGTGCCCAAAGAACTCGGCACAACAAATGCATTGAAATCTAATGGTTGTTCATGTTGCGCCGATGCCTTCTGGCACGGCACGACTTGAGACAGCAAACTGTATCAATAATTATTCATACATAATACACTAACCAAGCGGTTTTGGTCCCTGTTTTCAATCTGCACTTTTTCCGGAAAATTTTGTTTTGTTCGAAGAAAATCGCACTTTTAAGGCACCACTTATGGCCGTATTTATAGTCCAAGTGCCAAGTGGCACTTGAGAGAGACTTATCGAAGAACGAGTTGAGTGACTTCTGACCCTTGAGATAGAAGCCATTTTATAGTTCCACCTCGAGAGTGACTTGGAAAAGTGGCTGTTAAGTGACGGATCATAGGTTTCTTATGATCGTCCGGTTGGTACCA